TTGACTTTGTAGCCCAGGCTGATCTGGAACTCGCAATGATCCTCCTGCCTCAGCCTCCCAAGTCCTGGGATTACAGGTGTGTGCCACCATCCCCAGCTCATTTACTAATTATTTATCCAGTACATTTTGTCTGCCTGGGATTGTGTCAGAAGGGAAAGGCAAAGTAGGAAAAAGTCAAAGGCCTTATAAAGAAGACACTTGAACTCGACCTTGAAAAATGAACTGAGCTTTAAAAAGAAGAACAGGAACAGGACAAAAATGAATCAGCCTGAGAGGAAGAAGATAGAAGCTCCGTAGAGAAGGCTGTAGGGCTTCCGGCGCAGCTTGGTGCTTGGGTTATCAGGTAGCTTCTTCTGAAAGTGCCTCACCAACTAAATGTTACTGGCTTCGGCGTTGCTGGCCTCTTTCTGGAGTTAGATTCCTGGTTCTCACCCGAACAAACCATGAACAAAACGAGCAAAAAGCACTGACAAAGTTTATTCAATAAAGCAAAAGTGAAGAGTGGGGGAGAAACTTGCCCTGCAGACAGAATTTAGGCTGAGTAAAGAGCAGAAGAGGGTAAAAGCAAAGATAAGAGGACAAGCTGCGTCTGGAATACACAGAGCAGGCCATCCTGGAAAGTTAGGCTAGCACCGCTCTTCGTGCTGCGCTTCTCTTATGCTGTCCCAATCTCCAGGAAACCTGAGAACTTAACATCTGGGTCCTGAGAGGCCGTGAGCAATCCCGCCTCTCAGGCTGACCTCAGGTCTTGCTGTACTATTAAACTCCTGCTGAGCCTGGAGAAATCCAGGTACAGGGCTCTGGAAACTGTTCTGCGCGTGTGTCTGGGGTCTTGTGACTAACAGGTCAGGCCCACTTCCCAGCCATCTTTGCCGAGCCCCAATCTCCTATCTCAGTGGTACTCATTAAGCAGGTGTAAGAGCCTTGGTTCTGTCCCCAGCACCAAGAGAAAAGGTTGAGCATTTAGGTTAGACTAGGGACATTTTTTTTCAATATATTGAAGGCTGGGGGATATATCTCAATGTATTGCATGCCAAGCATGCATTAAGCACCACAAAAATAGAAAAAAATAAGAAGAGTTAAATTTCAAGGTACAGATTTTTCCCCCAAATTTTTCCCAGTTTTGGTGAGCAAATACAGAGCCTTCTAGGCCAGCTTGGGCCACATAGTAAGACCCTATTTCAAAAATAAATAGATAAATAAATAGTGTGAGAGGTGTAGTTCAGTGATAGAGAACTCTGGATTTGGTCCCTAGTTCCCCTTCTTCCTTACAAAAGTCTGCTCTTCTCCCAAGTTAGGAAAAATGTATTTCAGCAGGATAATACCAGGAACATCCTGAACTGTGGAATGTATTTTGTGTGTGTGTGTGTGTGTGTGTGTGTGTGTGTGTAATGTACTTATAAAATGAAAATGAGGGGTCGAGAAGATAGCACAGTAGAATAAGTGCTTGCCTGGCAAGTGCAAGGGCCTGAGTTCAATCACCGGTTCTGAAAAAAAAGAAAGAAAGAAAGAAAAGAAAAGAAAATGAATACTATGCTGTATAATGTGGATTTATTTTATAAGATTCACTATAAGCCATTTTGTGGTGTTTGGTTTTTTTTGCAGAACCGGGGATTTGAACTCAGGCCCTTGCACTTGCCAGGGAAGCGCCTATTCCGCTGAGCCATCTACCCGGCCCCAATATAAGCCATTTTGTAAATCAAAATCTAAACTTTCCCTTTATAAATATGTGTATTCATCTACCAAATTTTTAAAATTTATTATTTATTTATTTATTTTGGTGGAACCAGGGATTGAACTCAGGCCCTTGCACTTGCCAGGGAAGCACTTATTCCACTGAGCCATCTCCCCGGCCCCCTCAATTTGTTTTAAGTAAGATAGTTACCATTAAGTGTCGACGAGATAGGTCAGCAGACTAAGTGCGTGCTTAGGCAAGTGCAGGAACAGGGTTCAATCCTGGCACCACCTGCCACACAGGCCCCACCCCTGGTGTGCTGAGCCAGCCACTGAGACAGGGCGTGATGGTGCATGCCTGTAATCCCAGCACTTGGGAGGCTGAAAACAGAATCGCTGCAAATCTGAGCTGCATAGTGAGACCCTTACCAAATACATAAAAATAAATAAAATAAAATAATTTTTATTTTATTTTTGGTAACTCATAGTATTTTTGCAAGATGAAAAGCTCCCTATTAAAATACACGTCCCGGGGCTGGTGAGATGGCTCATGGGGCTGGTGAGATGGCTCAGTGGTCTAAAGCACCTACTTAGAATAAGCTTAGCAAAGCACAGGGACCACATGCCAGCCAGCCCCGCCCCCTGGTGGGCTGAGCTGGCCACACACACACACACACACACACACACACACACACACA